GCGGAGGAGCGGAGGGCGGGCGGGGAGGCTCCCCTCCACCCGCCGCTCCTTCGCGCGCCCGCGCCCACCACCGCTCTCTGTATCCGGTTTTGTTCTTCTTAGTTCCGGGCAGCGCTCCATTGAAATACCCTATTGTGTCAGATTGTGACTTGATTGTGTCATGATTATGTGTGATTGTGTGTGATTGTTTCGATTGTGGCCGATTTTGTGCGATTCCTTCCTATTGTGTGATTGTTTTCCCGATGTACACATATTGCGTCAAGTACCACACCCCTCGAAGATGTGTCTTTGAAGGCTGCGCTCTTGTTGACCTAATGTTAAATCATGATTTTCGGTTATAGGTGTTGTTTTAGCATAACGATTCCTTTATCTTACCGTGCTACACTCTGCCACCGTGCCTGTTATGCTTGGTTTGCTTGCACGATACCTACACATAGACGTCTGTCTTTGCAGAGAATGGAGCCTTTGCACGACGACGTCTTGCTGATGGTCTTGGAGTATGTCGGCGTGAAGGATCTCCTTGCCTGTCGGCTCGTCTGCAAGAGGCTGGCAGAGCTCGCCGTGCACCCGCAACCGTGGCGGCGTCGACGGCTCAGTGTATATGACATGCACACGAAGGTCAGTGCTGAAGACCGTTTGATTTGCCCGGCGCTGCGATTGGCGCCCTGCGTGCGCATGCTGCATCTCCAGCTACCGTCGAAGAGGTGTCAGCTGTCCTTCACGTCGACCAGATGTGCCGTTTCGAAATTGAGGCTGGTGCTGGAAGACATCGATGTCTGCATGCACGCCGCTTTCGTCATCCGTAACCAACTGGCGCTCGGGCGGCTGAGAGACCTTTCCGTTTGGTTCCCACCTGGGCGGGTGACGATCATTGAGAAAAACGCTTCCACTGAGTCTTCACAGACTCTATTCGGATTCTCTCTTTTGTTTGATACGCTGGCCGTAGCGTCCGGACTGGAAAAGCTTGCAGTTGATTGTTTCCCGGACAGGTGGTTTGTCGTACACAGCACCGTGGCTATAATACCCTCCCTGAAGCTCTTCAGCTGCAAACTTCGGCTGAGGTCGGAGCCCTTCGTCGACTTCGTTCTGGCCGGGCACGCCCCTACCCTAGAGGAGGTTGACTTGCGAGATAGTTGGCTGAACCCGGTCTTGAAGTCTCCTTCCACGGCGTCCCTCCTGGCCGCGATGCCTAACCTTCGCGAGCTCACCTGCCCCGCCGTACTCGTCGGGATGGAGGTCGTGGCAGAGTGTGGTTCTCTGAGGAAGCTGACCCTTCACATCAGATGCGACATGCCGTCTGCTCTGGTCGCGGGGGCCGCCGGGTTCCTCCGCCGCGCCACCCAGCTGCGTGAGGTTTCGTTGCAGTACCACCCCGGGGCCACCAGCCCCGATGACGCCGGCGTACGCCTGGTCCGCGACCTGGCCTGGTCAGGACGCTCCCGCGTTGAGTCGCTGGCTATCACTAACATTTGGAGAGAGGAGGAGGACAGCCACTACTTTCCTCAGGAGCAGCCGCTCCTGAGCGCACTCCCCGCGCTGCCCGCTCTTCAGCACCTGGACCTGAGGTCTCATGCGCCGCCCCAGCTGCTGCAGGCCCTCGGCCCCGAGACGTGCCCAGCCTTGCGGACCCTCGAGCTGGGTGTGCATGCCATGGGGTTCGACATACACCACCACTGCCTTCACTCCTGGTTGCACGACAATCTCCTTGCCAACGACCTCCTGAAGGTGCACCCCTCGATCGAGCTGATTCCACCATCCTCAAGTTACTACTGCTCTGTCCCAAAATATTGCACTCCGTGTGCATCAGGTTGCCACCCAGAGCTCTCCGGGGATGACCGGCCGCTTTTCCGAGACGCTTTGATGAAATTCTGCCCCTGACTGTGCGCTGTGCTAGGCTATGTCTCTTTTTTATAAAATAAATGCTCTGCTCAGTTACTGCGGGCTTGTTATTCTGGTTCATTTCCTTTCTCATGGATGAAACAAAAACATGCCTCTTCACTTCGGTTACGAACGGCCGGCAGCGTTCGATTCGGAAGCAGCTGGAGTCGAGGCGGGGTCGGATAGGCGCGTAAGAGTTCGGGCGAGTCGGGTCGCCCCGCCCCGCTCGCGACTGCTGGCTGCCGTGTGACGTGATGCCGTGACGTCACGCCGTCACGCCCTTGGCCCACGCCGCGGCGGTGGCGGCCAGAGGCCCGCGCCGTGTAGGAGGAGCAGCGCGCCAGCTGGCGGGGCGCGGGCGGGGCGGGGCGGACCGGCCGCGGCTGCTGCAGCACCCCAATAGACACCCCCGGCGGGGCTCTGGCCGCCTCTGGCCGCCTCTGGCCGCCGCGGCCCCCGGGGGCTCCTCAGTCCTAGCTATAGCGTCGCACCGCGCCGCCGCCGCGCACCGTGAGAGAGCCGAGCCGCGGCCGCGACCGGACCGGACCGGACCGCAGTGCATCGGGAGGGTGCAGTAGGGGCGCGGCGCGCGCGGCCAGTGATAGCGCGGGGGTGGGATGAGGACGAGGACCGGAAGTGACGCGCGCCGCCAGTAGGCGGCGGTGCCGAGCCGCCCCGGGCCGCTGCCAGGATGACGCGGGCCCCCTCGCGGCCCGACGACGACGATGATGATGGACAGTGAGCGGCCCGCCGCCGCCGCGACGACCTCGTCCCCGCCCGACATGCACGACCACCGCGTCGTCAACGGCAGCGCCGGCGACGCGGACTCCGATAAGTCTCCTGCTGGGGACGCCGTCGTCGTCGCCGAAGCCACCGACGCGTCGCCGGACGCGCCCCCGAAAAACGAAACGGTCATCCACTGCATCCTCAAGGCCGCCGACGCGCCCAAGGGGGAGAAGAAGAGCGTGCGCTTCAACGCACAGACTGAAAACTACTACGTTCCAGCAAAGATTGCAATCAGGTTCCCCGTCAAGTACGGCTCCGAGGACGACGAGGAGGAGTTTGTAGACTGTCAGGTGGACGTAACCAATGCGGAGAACCTGGAGAACAATATGGGTAACGCCCAGACGAGCGTGCCGCCCGGAGGACTCCCCGCTGGCGATCCCGTCAGCCCGGAGAAGAACAACGGGCTGCCCGTCAACGGATCTGCAAGCGTGGAAAACGGAAGTCCGGAGGGAAAAAATGGCCCTCAGGTGAACGGAAATGGCTTCTCAAGCCAAGAAGGTGAGGTGGTTTCCCTAGACAACGGCTTTTTCAAACAGAAGGATGAATGCGTTCCCCTGGAGAACGGCTTTACCGGCCATGTGGCCGAGAACCTCCCCGTCACGAACGGCTCCACCAGTCCGGAGTGCGATCGTGTTCTCCAGCAGGAAGTCTTGATGCCGACAAAGGACGAATGTGTCCCTCTAGAGGAAGTCTCCAACTGTCAAGAGGAGTCGATCGATCTCCTGGACAACACGAGCAATGAGGATGGTGGAATCACGATAGAAGGTGATGGGAGACTGGAGGCAGTGCATGCTCTCCAGGGGGAAACCCAGCGAGCGCTGGAGAACGAGTCAAATACAGTCCGCACAGAGGGCAGTGGGGCTCGGGGGAGTGTGTGCGAGAACTGTGAAGTGATGACAGCAGCACAAGTGTCAGCAAACGACAGCAGTGCCGTTGTCGCGGAGACAGTGAGTGACCACGATACAAGAGAACCGAACCGTGCACCCCCGCTGGAGAACGGGACGGTCTGTAAAGGCCCCTCCGAGCAGCAGCAGCGCTTTGAAGAGCAGGTGCCGTCCCAGCCCAGCGCAGCGGAGGACAGGTGAGTGTGAAGGGAACACGCAGGGACACTCGTGTGCTGCTTGTTGACTCCAGCAGTGCCAAGATGAGTTAATTCGATCTCAGAAGGGCTGTAGCCTACAGACTGTGTCATTTTCACTGTGGGCCAGCGATTAACGTTTTCGGCGGGTGGGGTGCAGGACTCCTGGTGATTTGTGCGTCGATTCCCGCGGGAAGGAGGCCGCGCTGGGGCTGGTGGAGGTGTTGAACTGGCTTGTCCTCGCCGCCGTGCAGCGCGCCGCGGGCGGGCCGACGGGCCGGCCCCACCGATCTCGAGAAATGTTTTACGGGCGGGCCGCATCAGCGCGCCTCGCACGCCGTCCCCTCCTACCTTCTCCTTCGCGCCGGCAAAGCTATTGGGCAGCGATGGGGGACTTAGGTAATCCGCTAGACACGACATGGTGTCAATCCGGGGTAATCCGAGAGTAATCCGGAGGTAATCTGGTGATTAATTCGGGCGTAAGCCAGGGGTAATCCGGAGGTAAACCGGCGGTATCAAGGGTAATCCGGGAGTATTCAAGGGATAATCCAGGGTAATCCCAGGTAATCCCGGGTAATCCGCTGTACACGAGATCTCCAGTCGTTTCCCCCTCGTTCGGCAGCTAACTGAGCCCGCTGTCGAGCCTGGAGCCTGGGCTCGCAGCAGCAGTAGCGGCGCAAACTCT